AGGTGTCGTGAAGAACAATGTCAAGAGAAGAGTTGGCAAGTACGATCCCTGTAAGACCTCCCACCGCCCACGTGACCTCCCTCAGCCCACATGACCTCCCACCGCCCACGCGACCTCCCACCGCCCACGCGACCTCCCACGGCCCATGCGACCTCCCACCGCCCACGCGACCCTCCCACAGCCCATGTGACCTCCCACAGCCCACGTGACCCTCCCACAGCCCATGTGACCTCCCACAGCCCACTTGACCTCCCACCACCCACGTGACCCCCAGGCCATCGGTGTGGCACGCTCTATGTACGATGACACGCATCCCTCGTTAGGGCATAGGATGGCTTACTCTCATTGCTCTAAAAAAGATTTGCCGATTGAACTGACACAGTAGGTAAGGCTGAAGGAGGGCGAGCGATCCACCCGTTCACACCAGCTGGCGTCTCCTCGCATGTTAATCCACCTCATCATGTCCGAGGCACTGCCCCAGACAGCACAGGGGCCCTCAGGTCCCTGGGCTAAGAAGTAGCTCCAATTCAAGGCAGGAGGGAGGAGGTGTTCAAACAGAAACCTGACGCTCACTCGATGTTTTCCTGCTCTGCCTGGGTCTTTTGTGGACAGGACTCGCATTTCTCCCTCAGAGCAATCACCCAGAAGGTCCCTAGCGCCCACATGAATTGTAGTCGAGGAAACGGAAGCCATGGGGTGTGCCTGCCACCAGAGTGCTCATGTCACACCATCAGAGACGTGACAGCAAACGTAACAATGCGTTTGGTCCAGCCAGGCCAGCGCTGCCTGGAGGACGGAGCTGCACCGTTAGGGACGGAATTAAAACACAGAGCCCGTAGGAAGAGGGCAGAGGGAAAGGCAGGTGACAGGGTGAGAGTGGCTATCAGCAGCTGAAGGTCAATCAACCAGTAACAACACGACAGCAACAAGACCCGTGCCTGAGCCACACGGCGGCTGGAGAGGGAGCTGGGGCGGCGCCTGAATGAACGCTATCACCTACAACGACGTTACTTAGCCGCGTAAGCCCGGGTTCTAGGGTTTTACACATACATTTAGATGGTCTTGCCTTTGAGTCTTCCTGATTTTCTCTAATATGGCCAGGTTTTCCTTTTCGATTCCTTCATCTTCTGACTTCTTCCCGCTGACAGGCTCCTCCTCCTTCATCTCGTAGTGATCCAGGTCTTCTATGTCCTACAGACGTTAGAGACGTATGAGTGTGGTCAAGCTTATGCCAAAGTCTCACTATTCCTGACTCGAGAGGGAGCAGAAGAGAGAGAACCCATGTATTCTACGGGAAGGGGTATAAAAGCCTTCACATTCCATTAAGAGGTTCCCTGTCCATAGCTTGTATTTTGTTATAAAACTAGAATCTGAGTAAAGCATATTTAATAGCTATTATCAAATAAGCCACCTTTCCAACCTCCTATGAAGGAAGAGATTTGAATAGTTGAGCATCCAGGCCTCCAGAATCCTGTTCGTACTTGGTTCTGGTAGCTCCACTATCTCCATTTTCCAACAGACTCGCTCACTGTGACCTACACCAGGAGAGTGACCACGCCCATCCTCACCTGACCGAGTCCCTTCTCATGCAGCCCTGTCCGTGCACAGGCCTCACGGAGCCCTTCCTGGGCTGGCCCCTCCCCCCTGAGCTCCTCCCAACACCGGTCGGTCGTCAGATGAGCTGAGTCTCCTCCACCTTCAGCCTCGGCCACAGTCCCAGCCACACGTCTTCTCCACTGAGTGCCCACAGCACAGAACAAACTCACCATCAGCACCATCCAGCCCACTGCTCTCCATGTGAAGCCTTCCTATCAACAATCGCTCCAAACAGAAACAGTTTGACTAAGTCAAGGCTTTTGGCCACCTGCCCTTTCTAGCCAATCACCTGGCCTTTTCCTGACTCCACGCATCAGCATCAGTCCGTCTTTCTCCCCCAGAGGACAGCATCCAGCGCCCCCACGCACGCCCAGGCCTGGGGCAGTTCGGGCCCTTTAAACACCTTCTCTCAATGGCCTGGATACCTTCTCCTCCTCCACCCTGACCTGACCCTCCACGGCCGGTTCCCCCCTTGCCAGGTTCCCTAGATGTGCTGTCCCTTCTCTACGTCACCTTGTGAGGGAAGAGGAAGGCACACAAGCTCTTTGAGGGCAATGTCTGCCTCACCGCACAGGGCCCAGGGGGTGACTGTTCCACCCAGTTAACCTGCATGAAACACTAAGGACAAACTATCACAAAAGTCTCATTCCAATTAGACAAGGTTAAGAATGATCTTCTCTCAGACTCACAAAACAAAACAAACCCACAACTAGGTCTTCAGTCTCAGGCACTCTAAGCCGTCTATTTTATTTTTTTAAAAATATATTTTATTGATTTTTTACAGAGAGGAAGGGAGAGGGAGAGAGAGTCAGAAACATCGATGAGAGAGAAACATCGATCAGCCGCCTCCTGCACACCCCCTGCTCGGGATGTGCCCGCAACCAAGGTACATGCCCTTGACCGGAATCGAACCTGGGACCCTTCAGTCCACAGGCCAGCGCTCTATCCACTGAGCCAAACCAGCCAGGGCAGCAGTCTATTTTAGATTTAAAGTTTTCTAAATCAAGAATATAAGGTAATAATTCAATTAACTCTAAGATGCAACACCAAAACAGGTTTTAAAACCAAGACCACGAAACCAAAGACCTTTTTATCCGATCAGTGTAGACACGCAGAGCTTCACTCGGAGTTTGAATTTAAACGCAAAGCTTCAGAGCTGGACACGGCTGATATCACATCGGTGACGGGCAACTACACCAGCCTCCGCTCAAGGCCTGGGAATCTGCTCTACAAAATTCCCAGATGGTTTTTCAACATGAGGTAGTTTTATTATCTCTAATGAGTAGTCCCTGAAATGCTCTCTAATTCTTTATTCAAACACAGAACTTCTGAAACTTAGCCGTTCTCAAAAATAACCAATGACAGCCCCGCCAGTGTGGCTCAGTGGTTGAGCTTCGACCTATGAACCAGGAGGTCGGGGTTCGATTACCAGCCAGGGCACTTGCCCGGGTTGTGGGCTCGATCTCCGTGCAGGAGGCAGTTGACCAATGTCTCTCTCTCATCTATGTTTCTATCTCTCTATTCCTCTCCCTTCCTCTCTCTCTAAAAATCAATAAAAACATTTAAAACAACTACAGGTTAAGTAGTGATTACTACTCAATGTAAACATAATTTCAGTGCTAAATGTTAAGAGTCCTTATTTTCCAGAAAATCAGATCTGAGACATAAGAGAAGCAATTTATTCAAAAGCATACATTAGAGGTTAAGCCAGATTTTATATTCAACTAAAGCCATCAATTACATTCAATTCCAAGAACAATGTGCTTTTCATTATCCCACACCAACACTGGTCCATAAAGAGACTAGAGCAGGGGTCCTCAAACTACGGCCCGCGGGCCACATGCAAATATAAATATTGTATTTGTTCCCGTTTTGTTTTTTTACTTCAAAATAAGGTATGTGCAGTGTGCATAGGAATTTGTTCATAGTTTTTTTTTAAACTATAGTCCGGCCCTCCAATGGTCTGAGGGACAGTGAACTGGCCCCGTTTAAAAAGTCTGAGGACCCCTGGACTAGAGAAATTGCTGAAACGTCCCCTAACGGAGACACCCACCTCCGCCATCTCCTCCTCGTCCTCCTCTTCCGACGTCACTTCCTCCGTGGTCCCATTCTGCAAGGAAAGAAGAACGTGCCAGGCCACGCGGGCCACACACTGGGCATCCGGGAGGCGTCAGGGCCCGGCGGCCACTCTCCGGCACTGACCCCACAGGGAGCTCATCACAGTGAAACATCTACTAAATCCAGCTCTGATGACAAACACTTAACAGCTTTTTAAAAGAAACATTTTTGAACAATTCAAGGTAACAGGTGCATTAGGAATAACACAGGCAATTAATCAAATATAAAGCAGCTCTAAAGAAGTTACAGACATTCTAACTAAAAATTTAAAAAAAATTTACACTTAAATGGCTTCCTTCATTTAAATAATTATCCTAAACCATGAATTAGCTTAAATTCCTCCTACAGGTTGTCAACAGCAAACACTCCCAATCAACCCTCAGTATCTCTCTAAAACATGAATGAGAAAAGAGGAAGGGCAAAACTACATAGGAATGAGCAGCATAGACTAGATGGATACTTGAGAAAAGTCTGCAAAAAGAACAAGATGGAAAAAAACTATTTTCAACCGTAAGTTTAAAGAGACAACTGAGGTGCTAGAGAGGCGAGGACTAGAGTCAAAGACGCCTGCACAGAAACTACGGGGAAAGCCCAGGAACAGAACGAACGCTGTGAGTGGGAATCATCATCTTAGATGTACCGGTCCCCTTTGGAGAGGACCCCGGGAGCCCCAGTCCCGGCCCTCACCCCTCCCACAATCCACTGGGCTCTGACTTGAACCACTAACGTGGTGGACAAGAGGCGGGGCCGGTTCCCAACGTAATCCTCTAAGAGGCCTGGCAGCTCCCACTTCTGTGCTCTTGGGAGCCGACACCAAGAATTCTATGACCTTCCTGAGCCCTGCGGGACACCCCCGGGCAGTGTGTCCACAGGGCCCCGCCCAGCCCGGTCAGACTGCACAGCCAGGCCAGCAGCAGCTCTGTCCAGCGAGGCCACCCCACCCACTGCAAGGAAGGAGTCAATAGTTTTAGGCCATCGGGTCCCGGGGTAGCTGGCTCAGCAGCAGCGAACACCCAAAACAACACTTGACATGATGGCTGACCTCATAACGTTTCTAAACGTTGAAAGATAAGAAAATTTTCTAGAATTTAAAATGAAAAGACAAAGAGAGAGAATAGAGACATAGTATCCAAGCTACAAAGACTCAAGCAAAGAGGTCTACAATCCCACGAGCAGGCATTTCCAAACGAACAAAGAAAGAAAATGGAAGGAGAGGAACCACAGAGGAAAATACACACATTCACCCACGGAGAAGACACAAGAGTCCGACTTGAACAGGCCCGTCCGTGCTGAGCGCAGGGACAGTGAGAAGATCTAACAGCCCGCGGCTGACGCCTCGGAAGAGACAGGCCTCGAGCTCCCCGCGGAGACGGGTGAGGCGCCGAGGGCGTCGGGCTCCCAGCACCGCCCGGCCGCGCAGCCCACACCCGAGGCCAGTTCTGTCCCACCCGGAACTCCACACTCAGCCAAACCGCCAGCCAAGCCTGAGGGCCGACTAAGAGCTTCACTGACTGGGCATTTCCTGCACACCCCCCGCACCGTGTCACCTTCGGAGCCCCCAAACACAGGCACCACCTCCACCCCCCATTTTGGGAGGGAAGCTGCTGCCACAGTGACCGGTAAGTCATGCAGCTCATGAGCAGCAGAACCGAGAGCGGAACCGATGTGCGGCCACCTCTGCGAAGGGAGAACTCGGAAGTGTGCCGGCCTTCCGTCCTTCCCGGGGTTGTACCTGAGGGTGCACTCGGGCAAAAAGTGAACGGTGAGCCCGGAGAGGTGGCCCCAGGTCAGCGAACAACAGACCAGCGGGCAGAGCAGACAGAGCAGCTCAAGATGGCAGCTGTACCGCCAGCTCAGAGAGCCGCCCGAGACGGGGCAGAACCACAGGCTCCAGGGCGAGGGGCTCTCAGACTCGGGAGAGAACACGAGAATTCTCAGTACAGGAAAGACATTCCCACATCCTAATGGCTCCTAGGACACTGCGTGGAGAAGACGCCATCTGGGGGTGCCTGCCGGACGGCCTTGCAGGCGAAGGATGCAAGAGCAGGGATGGAACCGGGACCCTAACCACGAAGGTGAGTGCGGGCAGGGCCGGTCTGTCTGTCACAGGGAATGGCAGCAGCTCCCAAAAGGGAGAAGTGTGGTGCCTCCAGCAAAGCAGACAAAGCATCCAACAGCAGAAACGACCTCCTAACAAGCCGCAGTCAGTGAGGGAAGCGTCCTGTTCCTTCCGCCTGAGGCCGTGATTCCGCTGGCGATGGGATGGGAGGATGGGAGGAGATGGGAGGAGCTTACGTACCTGGCCCGTGGGCAGCGGCTGGTCCAGCAGCTCCACATCCAGGTGCTTGGGAAGGTCGTGCAATCGGCAGAGCTCACAGATCAACCACTTCAGCTGCTGACGAAGCTACAAAACAGGTCAGTGAAGAAGCGTGGGTTAGAGGGCCCTGAAGACACAGCAATGCGACAACTGGAACCCCCCAGCAGGGAGCGAAAGAAGTTAGACTGCCACTTGCAGCCCCGAGAGAATGGCGTGGAGGGTGCTGCGGGGCCAGGGTCGGAGTCCCGCGGGCTGCAGGCCGCCCCACAGTGGCCCAGCAGCAGGCGGCCAGCGGAGAGGAAGGGCTGCCGGCATGGTCCACTTTCAGCTGCTCACTTGTCTGAGAACCTGTCACTTCAGACGGGCACATTCATCGTGATTCAGGCCACAAAACAAGGCGGTGGCTGCACAGGGTCCGAGCTGTGCCTTCCCCGGTCACAATCATTTACAGGCAGAGGCACGTGTGGTCACGACAGTCCTGGGCCCTGGTGACAGGGGACACGGCGTCGAATGGCCTTGGCTTGAGCCTCCCGTTTGTGAAATAAGAAAATCAACCTCTCACTGGTGACGGTGAAGTGGAATCTTCTGCGGAAACTCTCAGCACTCGAGTGTCTAAAACTACAACAACACGCCTCAGGTCTCCGTGTACACCGCACCGTTGGTGAGCACATCCCCGCAGGCAGGAGAGCGCTGTGCACACACCTCCATGTCCGCACGTTTAGCAGCGACAGTTTAAGGGTCGATGCCCCGCAGACATGACCAGGACAAGACGGGCAACCCCTTCACTCGGTCCGGAGGCGCTCCTGGGTGCGTCTGACCCAGAAGAGAGAGGAGAGGAGGAAGCAGGTTTCTGAAGGACCAGACAGGGTGACACAAAGCACGTGGACCATGGAGCAAGAGTGAGACACGCTGAGCTGGACATCGGGATTAGAAGCCCCCAGGCGTGGAAGGCAGACCCCGTGGATGTGCACCACCCAGTCCATCTGTGGGTGCTCGTGACCGTGACGACGGGGTGGGGTCTGAGAGCCACGGAGTAAGGGGGGCTGGCAGCCTGTGGTGGAGTCTTACCCAGCAAGAAAAAAGGGGGTAGATGTTGCAGGAAATTCAACTTTATGCTCCCCCAAAAGCGGCCGAGGGATGGGGAAAGCTAAGGCCTTGGGGATAAACTTGGGAAGTTTTAGACGGTAGATGGACAGCCTGAGAGACTTCCTCGAGAGCTGGGGCGGGAACACTGGGCTCACACTGACTCTAAGCCGGTTCCCAGGCCCCGTCAGGCAGCAGTGATGAGCTTCATCGGTTCATCTCCCCCCACGCACATCACAGGCAGAATCCCTGGGTGGAGCCTGCCAGGCAGTGGACCGCCAGGAGGCAGGTGCGTCTCCATTTAGATGTGACGTTGAACAAGGAGGGGCACCAAGTGCGGGCCCTGGGTCTATAGATACAGACGTGGGTGGGCTGGAAGCTCGGGAAGTCGTTTAGCTGCAGATACAGGTGCACGGAGGCATGGCTGAAGGAGTAAGAGACTGCCCAGCGAAGGCACAACACGAGGAGGAAGAGGCGGACCGAGGAGACACGGCAGAGAAACAGGGACTAGCCCGGGAGGCAGGGCCCTGGCGGAAGTCCTCAGAGACGACAGTTCCCCGCGGACAGACCTGCCTGTGTCCTGCACTCATCACTTACTACGGAGCCTCACACAGAAACCAGTTAATTAAAAAACCACACACTTTTCTGTGTCCTACGACTAACAGCTTCCCGTGTCCACCCAGGGAAAGTGTATAAACCAGCAGAGAGCCGCATTTCTCACACAACAGCGGCCAGGCCAGGCTACAGACAGCATCGTAGGCCTGGCTTCTTCACGCAGAACGGCTCGGAAAGTTGTCTGTGCCCTTGCGAGAAGACGGGCTGCAGGCTTGTAACTACAACATAACATTCTGGCGTAAAACCACACGCAGGCGTTCATCTAACCAGGTCTTCCTTGTGGCCACTCCCACCGACGTCTGATGCTGCAGTCGGGTCAAGTGCAGAAATGGAAAAGGAGCCCTGATTCAGCGACTAAAGGGCAGAATGTTAACGCAACGAGAAGCAGACCCAGGCTGTCATGCACGAGGTGAACGGAAGGTGCGGAAAGACAGCTTACTCTGTCGATAGACTGGGTTCTGCGGTGACCAGAATACATCCACTTCTTCATAAAAGCAGACCCCGTTTTATACCCTGTGTCACTTCATTATATGAGCATTTTTGATGGGATCTCTTAGACACGGAAACATAACCCATCATTTCTCTGTCACAACACACACACCCTCAGGTCTAGAAAAGGCGGCCGCAGGAGCTGCCCCTGCCCATCCTGAGGCCCTTGCCCATCCGGGGGGTCCCCTGCCCGTCCGGGGGGCCCCTGCCCGTCCTGAGGCCCCTGCCCGTCCGGGGGCCCCCTGCCCGTCCCGGTGGCCCCCTGCCCCGTCCTGAGGCCCCCTGCCCCGTCCGGTGGCCCCTGCCCGTCCGGTGGCCCCTGCCCGTCCAGTGGCCCCTGCCCATCCGGTGGCCCCTGCCCGTCCTGCGGCCCCTGCCCGTCCTGAGGCCCCTGCCCATCCTGAGGCCCCTGCCCGTCCAGTGGCCCCTGCCCGTCCTGCAGCCCCTGCCCGTCCAGTGGCCCCTGCCCGTCCCGTGGCCCCTGCCCATCCTGTGGCCCCTGCCCGTCCCGTGGCCCCTGCCTGTCCAGTGGCCCCTGCGGCAGGTACGGACTCGGCCTCCTGCTTTAGCCTTTTACCTCCACCCTCAGGCCTCTCCAGACCAGACTTCACTTCCAAAATCCTTTTCAAACTGACGTTCTTATGTTCTTAATTTTAGGAATAAGCATGTTTAAAGCAAAAGTAACCTATTTTGACAATAATCTAGGACTTTAACTTCCCCAAAATGGTCATTTCTCCCAATACTATTAATAGAATAATCGATCCTTTCCGATTTGAGCGCTTTAACTCAGTTTCACTTATTCTAAATTCTCAATGACCTGACTCTTTCTAAATTCCCACTGCCTTTATCCATCCAGCCCAGTGTCAGTACACAGTATTTTATGTAAAACCGAGCTGAGCAAGTCTCATTTCATTACTTTTTCTTCAACTTCATTATTATTTTTACTCTTCAAAACAGACTTTAGATTCATTTTGTCAAATTCCAAAAATAAGCCTGTTTGATTTTTTTTACTGGAGTTGTATTCAATTTATAAATTAACATGAAGCTATGGAGATAATTAACATGTTTATAATATGAAGTCTGCCCATCTGGGAACATACTGTCTTTCATTCCACTCAGCAAATTATTATAGTTTTCTTGATACATCTAAGTTTATTCCTAGGTAGTTCATTTTTTTTATAATTTAATTGTAATCGTCAACAAAATACTTTTCTAAGTGATTAAAGCTGATATTTGGGGGAACCACTGATTTTCATATAACAGCACTTTTAACCAGTCACCTCAAAACTGTCTTCTCAGTTGGTTCCTTTGGATTTTTTTCAGGTAAATAATCATGTCACCTGTAAAGAATGACTGATATTTTCTATAAGGACTTTATAACATCATGGGAAAATAGAGTAATAATATTAACTTTAAAAAATGATATAAACTATGTAGAATATGACCTCCACTATTTAAACATATGTATGAGTATATGTATTTTACTACGAGGGAGAAAAACTGAAAGGAAAAAAAACACACCATGTCAACAATGGTTATAGCAGGCAGAGAAACTACCGGAGATTTTTATGTTCCCCTTAACTTTTACTAGTTCTCTCACAAATGTTACTCATCAGTTTTATAAAAAAGGAAAATAGGTTTTAATTTCTTTGTGAAATGGAAAGTTGCATTTCTCTCTACGTAAAACACTTTTCATTTGTATCCCTCTGGATTTACTGCAGTTATAGACTCGACAGAAAAAGCAGTTCCCTAATGTTCACGAAGAAAAAGAGAAAGGAGCAGGGCTTATTTTCTTACCGAACTGTTGTTCTTAGAATCTTCTAGACGTTCCAGAACTGAGGTCAGGTTTGGGTCATCAGAGTCCACGAACCATATTGGGGAAGAAGCCGGGTACGACTCCTGTAACAGAGACACCCAGTTACACACATAACAGACCGACCTGGACATGCAACTCCGCCAGACCACTCAATGGTCAGGTGACCACAGATTTCAGCGAAATATACCCGGGGAAGCCCAGTCAGGGCACAAGCCGGGCTTTCGGGCTCAGTCCCCGGTGGTGGGGGGGGGGGGGGGGGGGGGCCATGCAGGAGGCACCCAATCAGGGATTCTCCCATCATTGTTTTTAACTCTCTCCCCCTTTTCCTTCCCCTCTGAAATCAATCAATTAAATATATATTTTTATGGAAAAAAAGCAATATTTTAAAATCCCTGTGTGGAAAAACAAATTTTTTTTAATGGATTTTTAATTAATTTTTTTATTCTTCTGGAGAACATTTATGGGACCGTTACTGTCACACTTTGCTGTCCAATCAGTGTGGCGTGGAGAATGAAATAAACTCACAGAACCATACAGAACCTTCATAAAATTCCAAATGGCTTTGACAACCTAAAAAGAAAGTTACAAGGAAACCGGAAGGAATTGCTCCCTGCCTCATCAATTTTGCCGTAAACAGCTGAGTATCTCACTGGGCCCGAAGCCCCCCGAACCCTTGACACCCACACGAAATTGAAAACTTCCCTGTGATGGGGGATGTGTGAGTTGCTCCCAACACACACTTGTGGCCCATCAAAGCATTCTAGAACATCCACCCGAGGCACGAAGGCCTGGGGGGCCCACCCCGGATGTTCGAGACCACAGGGGTTCCGGGACCCACCCTCTCTGCTCAAGGACTCCGAGGAGGACGGCGCGACCCCGCGCCCACAGCCTTGGGAGGGGCTGCGTCACTCTGGCTCAGGCGATGCCTTACCTTCGCGGTGGGGTTCCCACTCCCCTCCCCAGCCCTGGACCTGCTGACCCTGGTCTCACCCCGTCTTTCCCCAGGTCTAAGGAAGCTTAACAAGGTCACGTTGCTAAGGGACACGCCAATCACCACACGGACACCTAGGTCTCCTCTTCATGGACCTTTTTCCTTCCGAGGAGGGGCATGGGGGGCGGGGGGGGGGGGGGAGAACTAGGAATCCGACTCCACGTTACAAACTGCTCAGATGCGTGAACACCAGGACTCCTCGGCCTGAAGGACACCCGGCTGCCGTCATTCCCGGCATTTCTCCACGTTTCCTTTAGAAAGGTGACCGGCCCGGGGCAGGCCCGAGACAAGGCCGTGGCTCCTGGTCAGGTTTCGTCCATTTGTCCTCTGTGTGACCTGCCTGGGCTACTCCTAACGGTGTCAGACTAGAAACACACAAAACTGACAGCCCGATTTAGTTCCATGAAAAATCACTGTAAAGGATTTTCAAAATGCAGTGCTCGTCAGCCACCGAGGAGAGAGCAGCCATCACATCACACAGAGCTTTCCTACGTGTGCTCTCACGGGGGCAGAAAAGTGATCCATGTCATAGAAAAACGCAGGCGCGCTCTGCTCAAGGTCCCAGCTACTGAGAATAAGCCTTTTTCTCTCCCATGAACTCGAAGCTCTAACATTTTACAATTTAGTATCTCGCTCCTGGGGAAGGGAGGCTTTGGGCAACGAGGAACAGAAGTTTAGTTAAGGAAAAGGTTCCACCACAAGTAGCCGGCGAACAGCCACCCGTGCAGAACAGAGTGATGACTTATCTACACAAATAACGAGGGTCTGTCTGTTTACTGGCTGGTTACATCCCGGGGGAGGAGGGTCTCTCTAGAGCAGCGGTTCTCAACCTTCCTCACGCCGCGACCCTTTAACACAGTTCCTCAGGCTGTGGGGACCCCCAATTTCATGGTTACAGATTGAACATAATGAAAGCATAGTGATGAATCACAAAAACAATATGTAATTATAGATGTGTTTTCCGATGGTCTTAGGCGACCCCTGTGAAAGGGTCGCGACCCCCAGGTTGAGAACCGCTGCTCTAACCCAATCCCTGCCAGCAGGTCCCAGACACGAGCAGTCCACAAAGGGGAATGAGCTCCCACAGGGCTGCCCAGGGGAGCCAAACGCTGCTGGGCCTCCAGGTGTGAGCGTACCTGGAGGTTGGCACCGACTGGCCATGGGATGGAGGTTTGCACGACCGACCATCTTGCACATCTCGACGTCCTACTTTATTAGGAAAAAGACTCCCCGAGGCTGAAATAGCCCTCTCTGCCCGTCATATCAGGGCACGTTTACAAAACAGAAAAACATTTCAGCTCAAATCCCTTTGCCTAGAGAACAACACGTCTGGTTTTTCACTTCGTAAAGGCATCTCTCATACGAACTTGAGGTCAGATCACAGGTTTCCTCTCAAGCCCCACGTGGCCCCTTCACGTGTGTGCGCGTGTCCATGACAGACTCGTGGCGGTTAACGTACAGGACAGGCAAGTTTTCTGTTCAAACTGCACAGCCAGACCGTGACCACGTAGGCAATAGACCAGGGCGTCCCCGCAAGAATGTGCAACCTGACAGCTGACAACTCCCTTAATTTTCCTCTTTTTCTCGTTTAAGTGATTTGAAATAATGGGTGGAGCCAGGCTAAGCTGTGAAGAAAGGATATTTATCCTCACGTGCCACTAGACCGTCTTGATGGGGACACATACGAGAGGGGGACACGGGACAAAGCCGGCCACCGCCCGCGAGCCGAGGGCACACGCATACGGCGGGAACACTGCTTGATGTCCGCGATCCCTCGGCTTCGAGGTGGCAGCAGGGCCGGGGCCAGAACGGTCCTCGGCTTGGAAACAGGCACTGACCAAACTAATGACTCATTTCTGTCCGTTCTCTTAACTGTTGAAAATGACCTGTGTGTCAATAACCACGGACTTATCATCATTCAGGGCGGGTGTGCGTTTTTTGGGAAACCCTGTATTTACTGAACGTTTGCCGAGTGGAAGATGAAAAGCGTAATTATAGGACATTCTCCCGGCCATCGCAAAAAGAAAAACAAGACTAAAAAAAAGGCAAAGGGAAGCACCGTTGCCTAA